TTATAAATGCGAATGTGTCTGTTACGCCTTTAAGGCTAAACCGCTGAACTGATTTTAATGAAATTTGGCACATAGATAATTCTTGAGGAAGGACATAGTACAACGTTTATAAAGGACTTGGGTGTCACATTTGACAGTAAACCAACGTTTCACGACCACATATAATTATGTGGTCGTGTAACGTTAGTCCGGTAAACCAAGCGTCAAAAGATCCTTTGCTAGTGTGTCACTAGCAAAGGAATCTTTTGGACGCTTGGTTTCATCCTTTTTTTTTTCCCGTGCGGAAATCCCCTCGGATACCACCTGTCGGTGGCATGTCGGACTCGAACCGACTAAAACCGCACGCCGTCTCGGGTCCTAATAGCCGGGGAACCAGGTATACCCTAGAAAGGAAGTCCCTGGTGCGCTTGGTTTCATCCTAAGAAATTCTCGAGAGTTAGTAACCATCATGTTAAAAGAGTAATTTATGGGGTATTGGTTCGCTGCAAGTTCTAAACTGCCGTACCAACATGTCGCACTCTTTCTCCACTCTACGCTCTCCTACGTGCCAATCCCGACTGTGATTTGTTTGCGGATGGATGGCCAAATATGATGTTAGTAGGTATGCTTACGATTCTGTGAGCAGGCGGGATGATTTTTATTTTATCTTTGTTTTCATGTGTTTTTTTTTTTGTGCTGGTTGATGTTTCATCTTCATCATCAGCCGATCGCAGTCTACTGCTGGACATAGGCCTCTCCCATTACACGCCACTTAGATCGATTTTGGGCTTCTCGCATCCAGCTCCTGCCAGCCATCTTGCGCAAATCGTCACTCCACCTGGCCTGTGCGCGTCCTACACTACGTTTGCCGAAACGCGGTCTCCACTCCAGAACTCGTTTTTCCCAAAGGTTGTCGGTTCTGCGGCTAATATGGTCAGCCCACTGGCACTTCAGCTTGCTGATCAGGTAGGCTATGTCGGTGACCTTGGTTCTCTGCCGGATCACCTCATTCCTGATGCGATCCCTTAGAGAAACGCCGAGCATAGCCCTTTACATAGCACGTTGAACGACTTTGAACTTGTGGACCACCCGTACCGTAAGCGTCCACGTTTCGGCTCCGTATGTCATGACAGGTAGGACGCACTCATTGAAGACTTTCGTCTTAAGGCTGATGTATATATATTAAATTATTGTATTTGGTGAAACCATTATGATTAAAGTAAATAAATAAATAAAAAAATTTACTATAAAAATAGTATATAATAATCATAATAAGTGAACAACTATTTGGATGTCTAGTCTGCTACGGCTAATCAGTCCTCAAGTGAGTCGTGGTGAGACCTCATTCAGCACCAGTTTGGACTATCTGCAGCCGGATGAATGTTTCCACCTCCGGTTCTGTGCTTCACGAGACCGTTACATAAGGGTTAGATTGGTATAGGGTTTGTGTTAAGTTTTTTTTCTCTTTGCAGTGCTTGTCCTGCGTAGTTTGCTCCCTTAGTCGACTCTTACGACACCCACAGAATGAATAGGAGTGGTGATACTCCGTAGTCTTAATCATCGCAGCACGGATTACCAGATGGATATAGATATGGATATATTGAAAATTTTAAGTTAAATTTTTTTTAAAGAAACCCGCCTATCGTGTTATCTGTTGTAACACTTAACTGATGTCGACTTCATAATCACAAAAAGATATAAGTAATATAATATCAACACTGGCTTTTTACTTGTGCCAGCTATTTTGTGATCTCTTGACGGTTGGAACTATAACTTGAACTGTTATTGTATTGACTTTTGTGCCATGATAGGTCAGTTTTATGTAACACTAGCTCGTGCCCGCGACTTCGTTCCCGTGGAATTTGAAAAGCGCTGCCTTAGTGCGTTCCATTCCCGGTCCGGGCATAATTTAATAGACATCTACTTTAGACTATCTAGTAATAAAATAGTATCAAAATCGGTATGGCCGTTTCGAAGATTACCCGGAACAAACAGACAGACGTTTCAAACTAAGCAGAGATTGTACTATGAAAGTTAGATTGACTGATAGAATACTTATATATTATTTTTTTGGAAATACATACATAATATATAGAAAACACCTAAACTCCGAAACAAATATTTGCAGATCATAAAAACATTTGTTCTGAACATGGAGTCGAAACCAAGACCTCAGCATAGCAGTCGCTTACGTTAGCACAGCACCACTGAGGCAGTCGTGCACTCTTAGTAGACAGGTGTTAGGCGATTCTTTTGTTGCCTGGAGCACACAAAGGGCAGCAACACAGTTGTCTCTTTAGTTGCATGTGTCCATGAGCAGCCGTAGTCACTTACCATCAGGTGACCCAATTGCCTCCTACCATATTATTATAAATACAGGCGGGCAGTTGAAACAACTGATAAAAGCCTGTATCCTGAGATATTCCTATTAGTTGTCCTTCTTGGATTCAATTACATGTGGAATCGCTAATCCTGGATCACGATATGAAGAATTCTGATTAGCATATCTACAACTTCCCAACATCAACAATTTAGGCGCGGCCGCCAGGCATGATCACCTCGCCTGGTCGGAATCCTCCTTTTGTGTTGGAGGGACATAACACCCGTTCCCCCCCATACTTACCTGTCGAGTCGATTTTTGAATTGGTTTAAATTTGGGGATTCAAATTTAATAAATTCAGAGGGTGCAGACGAGCAGACGGGTCACCTGATGGAAAGTGACTATCGCCGCCCATGAACGTCTGCAACTCAGGAGTAACAAACGCGTTGTTGGCCTTTTAGGAAGGAGTACGCTCTTTTCTTGAAGGTTTGAAGTCGTATCGGTCCGGAAGTACCGCAGACGATAGACGAAAAAGTGCCTCGAAAAATAGTGGAGCGCCAACTATCCAGGTAATGAGGATGAAAATTTTGCCGTGTGGAACGATGGCGGAAATTTGCGGCTGGTATTAGTCCGAACATTTCCTCGGAGCACTCTCCATGATATATGCGATAGAGAATGCAGAGTGAAGCCACATCTCTACGTAACGCCAAGGGATCGAGTCGATCGGAGATATTTGGGCTATCGACGATTCGAGTCGCTCTTCGTTCTATGCGGTCCAGAGGGAGAAGCTAGTACTGAGGTGCCCCTGCATAGAGATGAGAACAGTATTCCATATGCGGCCGGACTTGCGCCTTATAGGCGGTGGTTATGAGGCGGTAGGCCGGAATGAAATACTGCAACGATCTGTTCAGGACACCGAGCTTCTTCGAGGCCAATTTGACCTTACCCTCTAAGTGAAACTGGACTTCGCTCGATATGTCGCTGCCTAGGATTCCGATGCTGGCTGAGGCAGTTAGGGAGGTGCTATCAAACTGAGCTGATACGTCAAATGGTACATTTTTTGCGGTGAACGCACATACTTGTCTTTTTTGGGTTAAACTGGACTAAATTTAGTCGGCCCCAATCTGAAATCTCCGCTAAGGAAGTTTCAATTTAAGACACAAGTTTGTTTCGACTCTCGATGACGTTTTCCCGAAAAAACATTTTGCAACATGTCATTGATATGCAGAAGAAACAGTCTAGATATAAACAGTAAGTATTTCAAATTTCCAAATATGATAAAGGGTTCAGTTCACTAGGTCTCTATTTTCACAGCAGTTAAACTCAAAGCTTGGAAAATTTTGTTGTAGCTATAGATTACCTGAAGGCCCAATAGTGTGGTGATTTGTGTTACGGACCACTATGCCAAAGTTGATACCCGAGTGAACATTTAATGTTTGATATGGTCTGGGTGTTTCTATGTATTTAAAAAAAAGGTATATATGTATTTATATCAGTCTAGACAACTGATACCCATACCCATACCCATACTGGTACCTATAGTAAAAAGTCTACTTAGTTTGGGACTAGATGGCATAGTGAGTGTGGACATGTTAGTGTAGACTACCAATATTTATACCGATGCCAATGGCCACTCAATGGCATCTCAATAGCGTGTCAGTGGTATGACAGTGGCTTGGCGTGAACATAAAATAGCAGAATTGAGACCCAGTTTGTTCATAGAAAAAGATATATAAAATACTCCTGCACTAAAGTACACTATGTGCAAGTGTGTTTGTTCAGTAATGGTTGTACAATATCCTAAATCCTACCAATATAGTTTGAAAGAATAAGTAACAATGTTACATTCCCGAACGAATCATAAATACCTGCTAAATTATTCAGGTTATTTTAGAATTAGAGTTAAAACTTTTGTTTTACATATAATTGCAAATTATGTAAAGATGGAAATAAACAAAATAATTAGATTTTTATGACCATGATAATATGCTAACATTGAGAATATTCCACAACACTTAAGTAACTGACTTTGTGTTTAATGACAAATGTTACATTAAGTTACCTTATTATTCTTTTATTTAATTTAGACATAACATTATAATAATAAATAAATTGTTTATTTTCTCGCCACAATATATTCATACATAACTTTATCATCTAGATCATACTTTAGCTTGCACAAGAATTATTACAAAATTTTATGCTGTGGGAGACTGGTGCCTAAGCTAGGATCAGAGCCTGTGTTTCAGGACACCAGGGTAATATTATTTAATATGTTTTACTTTTAATATTTCAAATGTTGATGTTGCCGATGATTAATTTGCACATATCTAAATGCTAAAATGCCAAATTAATAATATTAAATTGTCTACTGACCCCGTAACTGATATATGTGCATATAAACAATCATTTATCATAATATAATATAGACAAATTATTATTTTTATCACAGATAGTGACAAATATCAGCAAGTAATCTAATAGAGATAATAATTTTATTAGGGCAGATAGTGACAGTAATTGATGTAGAATTTTGTATGATAATCCTTGTTCATAGGCTCTTCATACATACTATACTCATTTTATCATAACCTTACAATATCTGTGGTAAAAAAAAACGAAGAATTTTTTTTTAAATTGTAGACTTATTGCATGCATACCTATGTCCTTGAACATGATAATTTAAAAACTTAATTCTCACCTCTTCTACTGTTAGGGGAAGCGTGACGCGGCTGAAAACAAAGATAATTAAGTTTAATTTACAACATATTTAACTGATACTAACATCTGTTGCCAATATTCACGGATATTCACTACCACAGGCAAACCTTGACCTGAAGATCTGTCAATGTCAATAATTTTGCTATATTTCGACACAAAAGAATCCACTAATTTCATACTAGCTTTTATGTTTAACATTAAACTCTACGTCTGGTAATCCCAGTAAGAAATAGGCGGGCCGTGACAGATTTACAACTAGACTTCCCGAAAATCGATTTGTATTCGCAAACTTGTATAACCTTAACATAATATACTTACTATTCTTTGATAATCATGTTGTATATTTATTTTATGACACTTAAATGCACATCAGACTGTTCACTACCACCTTAAAAGATGACTTATCACAGAACGAGACTTGAGCGATGGCCCGATTATTGGTAGATTATTATAATTTTAATCTATGACCAGCCAATGAAAATGACAAGGCGCATGCTTCGTTCTGACGCAAAGGATGTTACGTTAATGTATTTTGGCTACGCTCCGTTATCTGCAAAAAAATCTACTCAAAGCATTTTAAATATTTTTAATCGAAAACAATAAACACAATATTTAACCGAAATTAATTAATTAAACAAAACTCAAGCAAATACTTATTTAAATTATAATAATTGTACACAATTAAAAAGAAAATGAGTAAGTAACTAATGTCCTTGCGTCTACGTAAAGAACGGCGAAGAAAGGAACGTTGAAAACCCGGAACTTTTAATGTTTCATTTCACGCCAAACAATAAATTATTTAGCGCCAATGAAAAATAGCTGAAACTAAAAACTAAGTAAAAAAAATAATGTTGAATAAAAGTTAGAATGAAGATATTAGATATTTCATAGAATTAGACTTTTCAAGGCTTATTGCCAAACTTTCTACACAAGTAACCTGTGGGTAAGATGTACCCAGATACGTGAGTCTGGCCCGATTTTGTAATCTGTAGTGCCCTGGCATGTTTCAAGTTCCTAAGAGTACCAATGAGGAAGTAAATAAGGTTAATAATGGCGTCCATGCTGGCATGTTTTACTTAGTTTTTAGTTTTCAGCTTTTTTCCATTGGCGCTAAAGGTGATAACGGATTAGTAGGATTCTTGTAAAAAATGGACAGTATGAAATAAAAAATATTATAATTTCGAAATGTGCAAACCTGTAATAGGTAGTTTACTATATGTTGGATGCCAAGTCTACAATTTAATCATCAGTACTCATCAGCCTATTGCCGTCCACTGCTGAGCGAAGACATCCTTAAGCCTACAACGAGGGTCGATAAATATAATAAATTAATAACATTTCTTATTTTTAATAGAAAAAGATAAGCTTGTAACTAATTTAAAAAAGTATAAACGAAATAAGTTTTAATTGAATGAGAATTTAAATGGTATCAAGACACGAACCAAACAACAGTTTCTGAACTGTTTCTAGTCAGTTGACGTAAACGTGACGTGAGGACAAACATTACACAAACGAAGAATGAATTTTTCATTCAACGATTTCTTGTTCATTAAAAAAATACAATAAAAATGCTTTGATACGTTCTTTAGCGGTTTTTTTTTAAATTTCAACCGTGCCTATATTTTGAGACAACTTTTTTCTGCATCAGGATAATCTCATAATCCGAAAATGAGTTTAGTGGGGAAAAAATGTGAATCAATACCATTGCAGGACACGAATAAAGACGACATAATTCTGAGTGAAATAACGCCAGAGGATGTTTTAAGACTGGATCGTATAACGGATACATACTTGTGTAGCCCTGAAGCTAATGTATACGACATAGATTTCACGCGGTTCAAAATTCGCGATTTGGAGACTGGGACAGTTTTGTTTGAGATTGCTAAGCCCCCAACTGATTTTGGGGTTGACAATGAGGGTGCTGAGGATGCTCCAGAGGAGCCGCTAGACCCTAATGCAGGAAGATTTGTACGCTACCAATTTACACCTCAATTTTTAAAACTAAAGACTGTTGGGGCTACGTAAGTACATTTAATATATTTAGAGATTGATTTAAATTCTTACTGTATCAGTTAATTAAAATAACATTCTTGATATTGATGTTTTTAAATAAGTTTTGTTAGTCTACATTAAATATAATATTATTTATATTTTAAAATGGGGATGATAGCTTCCTTATTTAAGCAGTAGCTGAGTTAAGTATTGAATATATTTATAAATAATGTGTATAAATTTATGGTACTTACCCAGCTGGTTATTTAATTTATTTTTAATCAAAATGCCTCTGCAAGTAGTAGCTTAGAACATTTCAGTAAAACTTTAAGTAGTATAAAATGGTATGTACATGACATCTGATATGCCAGTTGATTTATTGGTTCTGACAGTTTGCATTTGAATTTATAAGTAAGTCTGGTTAGAAAAGCACAATGCCTGTTCCTGTGCATTTGCAGTTTTGAAGTGTAAAATGTCTCAAGTTAAACTAGTGACTGCACGGAAGGTGTCACTACACCTTTAAGCGGTTGCCACACCGCTTACAATAATGCTGAGTGTTGTGGGTCCAATCCCCACATAGGATGACACTTTGTGTGATCAACAAATTGTTGTTCTGAGTCTGGGTGTTCTTTGTGTCCGCTTAATGTATGTATGTATAGTCCCCAGTGACACAGGATATAATTCTAAAGTGGAAGTTGTCTTTTAAAAAGAAAAATACAAATGTGCGTCTCTTAAAAATGTAATCTATAAACTTATGTTGTATTATAGTTTATTTACATGGTAGTTGGTTATTTTGTTTCTGTTTTTGTATTTATTCAGTTGTATATTTCTATTTTCTTAAATGTCATTGTATACTTGACCCTCTCTTGTTGTGCTATCCTCTCTTTACTCTTAGGTATGCTGAAAGAAATCTCAATTATGGGTTAAGGTCACCTTGAGGCCTATGTCCAGCAGTGGACTGTTATAGGCTGTTGATGATGATGATGATGATTGTGCACACTATACCTTAATGTATTTATTCTGTAAAATTTTATATTTTTTATGTAAGAATAAATAAATAAACCATGCAATTTTCTATGAAACTTATTAGGTGTTGTTACAGGGTGTACATGTTGTGAATGTTACAGGGTGGAATTCACAGTGGGAGCTCGTCCTGTAAACCACTTCAGGATGATAGAGAAACACTTTTTCAGGGACACCTTGCTTAAAACATTTGATTTTGAGTTTGGATTCTGTATCCCGTTTTCAAGAAATACATGTGAACATATATATGAATTTCCAACATTACCTCCTGATTTAGGTAAGCTGGTTTCAGAGCAAGCAGTCAGACACATTTCTAGTAGGTGCAGGTTATATTTGCAGAAATCTCACAATTCTACATAGCATAGTCAAAGTCAATCAGTAATCATCATCCATAATGTACGAGCTTGACGTGTCAGAGATAATTGTCATTTAATTTTTTGTCATCGGGAGCAAAAGTTTTCTTCAAATTCAGCCTAAAAATATCCCAAATTCAAAACAATGTTTTCTCATAATTGCAGTAATATAAAATTCTATAAATTAGATTATTATTTCTTAGAAAGTCTGAATTAGAACGTATTTGGTTCATAGCTACTGAAATTTCTTAAGAATAAAAATCCATCCACCAACCATCTGGACAACTCCTTTGATGGTGGAACAATGTGGTTACTTGACAGTTGTATTTAGTAATATTTTAGCTGCTTCTCTTATTGATTCCTTTGTTCTCTTTTCCATTAGCTTCTTAAAGTAGATAGCTGTTCTGCATCGGTAAGCGGTACAGCTACACAACGAAATAAAATAAAAGGATGAAAATTAATCCATATTTTTTGCTCATTATTAATTATTGTTAAACAGTAAATAATTTAAAAAATTCAATTTTCAGTCGAAGAAATGATCACCGCACCTTTTGAAACATGTTCCGACAGCTTCTATTTCGTGGACAACCATTTGGTGATGCACAACAAAGCAGATTACGCATACAACGGTGGTATAAACAACTAATTTTACTTTAATTCGCACCCTGCAGATTATTTTTTTAATTTCCAAATTAACACCATACTCTGAAATTGTATTAAATATAAAATTAACGTGTCTATGTGGTTAGCATCTCACTTTTATGATCTCTTTTTAATATTTTTATCAGCTCGGGTCATTGAATTTTTTGAAAGAAAACAAGAATTTTTATCACGACCATGGTCTTTGACTAATGTATGTGCGATAGCCGCCATACGACGGACACTAAGTAGAGATGGCCACGTCGGGTGCGACGTTGGTTAAAAGAGCACGTATGTTCTGAATGAAAAATTAAATTTCGGCTGGATTTAAGTATATTTATATCATTATTTTAGAAGCTATTATTTATAGGTCTTATGGGTTGATCTCTTTACTACGAAGAATTTTTTAAATTCTTTATGGTTTGTACAAATTTCTCTAAGCAAGTTAGAGTCATGCTCAGAGTTCCTGTTTGCCGATCATTGTTGTCGAGCCTGGCAAGTCGGATGATATACATGATTAAAAAAAAGGTTAATTCGAAAGCGAGCAATCAATTTCCAATCGTATTCGTGTGCTAAACTTAAATTTTATTAAAAACTTTTGCTAAATTTTGCTCTATTCCTTTTCAGCTTATTACATTGTAATTCGTGACACCATTAGGTAATGAATGTGATGTAATTGATTGTGATTTTTACACTTATAATTAATAATTTACATAAATATGTGTGTACTAAAATGATATAAATTATAATTCTATACAGTGCTTTCTAATGTTTTAAAAAATAATTGTTTTTGCCAGTGTTTTTGAGTTGACTTCAAAATCAAGTGTTCAAAATCAAATATTATTATTAGGTTTGGTTTTTATTTATATGATTTAAACAGAATCTAATAATATTTGACAAATTAAATTTTGTTCGTTTCGTGTGACAATTGAAAATACGGTAAACAGGGCAAAATGCATGCATGGATGTTCATGTAAAATTAATATGATTTTATTCATATCTTTTTGATCTCAAATATAACAACATTCCCAAAATAAAAGAATCTTTGTACATTATTTTTTATTCGTATATTTTTAGGCTCTGATCATAAAGGGCATAGTTTGATTGAAGTTAATATTACATTTTAGTGTGATTTTTTGTCATAAATTTGTGTGTGTTGAAATAACGTTTTTGATTAACAAATTAAGCAAATTTTTCGAACCTTTTTGACACCTAATAACACGAAGCACTGTTCACAATCGTCAGTGTGAAACACTATTTTAGGCAATAAGTGGTGCTTCTTAATTTTAAATTATCTAGTCATTTTCTAATATTATTGTAACATTAATAGTTTACTAATATTTTAAAAGTAAAAAAGACGAATGGCACCAAAGATGTTTCTTTTTTTTTTTAATGCATAATGTCCAATAGGCAATTATATAAAAGCTTGATACTAAATAGACCCTATTGGTTGATGCTAAATCGTAATTTCTAGCGTCGTAGCGTCTCCGCCAATCAGGTGTCTCCTAGCTAAAATTGCTTTTTTTTTTATTCATATTTGGCAATTAATATGAAAGATAATACAGGGAATCGAAACTGAAGGATAATAAATTAGTTTTTTTCTTAATTTAAATTGATAAAGAAGAGATTACTTACTGTCTTAACTCAAAGGGACTACATATTATAGTAGTAATTTGTTTTTATATTTTAACATTATCCATTATTAGAATTTTGTCTAGAATGCCTTTTTTTCAATAGGCAATACTAGTGCGGATAGTTTCATTGAATAAGCTTATACTTATTTTTTTTAAATAACAACGAAAAATGTAGTCGCATCTACATTTAAATGTTTGAGGATTGTGTATTATCTCCTATAAACTTGTAATAAGCTCTAAATACTAACTGACTGCTGTAACTTTTTTTGTGACGAATTTTTGCGTCATATTAAAGGTAAGGAAAATACTCGACAAGAAAAAAATAAATTCAATAATAATTCTTAAATATAACATGTGTTAAAAGAACATTCTAGTCTAACCTCACTTTTCTGTAAATGGCGGCAAAATCAACAATGTGATTTATTAATCAGCTTTAAAATACATAAATATACTAAAAATTGTACCCCAATATTCCCGTTTCGTGCCGTCCATCTTTGATTGCAAGAAGTGACCTTTTTAAGATATGAATTTTTAAAATACGAACTCGATGTGTTCATTTTAAATTAATTTTCTTTGTAAGTGGAGTTCTAATGATTTAAAAAATATATAGTTTGATATTGTAATAAATGTGTGACGTATGTAATTTAGCGTAGGCATCAAAGTGATAACGATAAAGTACACTTACCTACCATTATCTATGTATATATACAATTATATATATGTAAAAATACTCAAGACACAAGTGTTAAGAAGAATCATTTTGATCATTTTCTGCTATTTTTACCAACCAATGAGGTAGATGGCTGTCAAGTCAAATCATCTTTTTTTAAACGTCAAAACGATAGACCCAGCATTTAATGATTCAGGCGAAATAATTTATTTTAGGCCCAGGAATCTACATTATTTTCTTTATTTAGAATTTTTGTGATAGCAATTATTTTTATCTACAGTACTATTCTGAAAATAAATATAAAATAAGATTTAAACCAAATCTGATTTTATTAATAATAATGGTTGTCATCGGAACGCTAGCCTAGACGAACTAGATGCGAATTAAAGTTATTACATCGGAATGTCAGTTATCAGTATCTTTATTGTTATCACTAATAAAAAAATGATTTTTTTTTTAAGATTGGAATAAAGGATAAGGAGAGTTTGAATCTTAGCTATGTGTCAAACTCCACAATTAGAGTGCATGTCTATTGGGCATAGCATGGTTTCAATTCTGCTAATTGTAAGATTGAAATTGTCCCTGTTCACTTAATATGCTGACTTTGAAATAATAATAATTTCTTTTGATTAGAATCAATTCGTGATGCTGTTTAGTACTTCAAAGTGTATAAAAAAAACTACTAGACGTGGTCTGGTACTCTCTGTGTCTGATGAACTTGTAACACCACTACCTAAACTCTCTTGTTAAGAGTTTAACAGATGAAATTGTTTTATTACTAATAGAAAGATAATTCCTGACATCCGACTAAACTTTGATGGGTTTATTTGCAAATGTTTAAATAAATGTGTGTTATATATTTTATTGTAGTTAGTAATGAGGGCACAGGCTGTATAATACCTTTAGTGGGATGCTGTGATACAATGCGAAAAATAAATTGTACACTATCTGATTTGGTAATAGGGCTTTTAAAATATATTTTGTACATTCCTATATGTTAAACATTACCAATAAATATGTATTATTTATCTTAAAAAAATCCTATGTTAATATGTTTTTTGTGTAACTCCTCTGTCAGTCTGTGTCTCTTTTCTGCAATCTATGACATTGTTTTCGTTAAAAGAAACGGAAGTGTGTAACAGGAAGCCGTGGAAGCGCGCTATTTGATTTGACCAATGAATGCGCGGTGCTAGAGTTGTGCGACAGATGGTAGGTTAGCTATCAGGTGTTACACATCATATCCGACTAATGTAAGGCTCACTTGTTTTGAAATTATTTCAATGTATTGACTTTCTTTTTTAAACTGTAGGTATATTAAGGGAACGCACCCATACTACGTGACGCACTTTTATCAATTTTTCTCCACCTCCCCATCCTCGGTGATCACCTATATGCCAATACCTCCCTCTAGTATTTACATAGTAATTCATAAATATGGTTATAAGTAAATTTGTTCCCTAAACAGAAACCTAATAACGCTATGTTAGTAACTATTTGACTGAATGTAATACGGATTTATAATATGATATGATTAATTGGATGTTTGAGTGACAGCCTGTGCCCGTTAAACAATGTCACTGACTCACAAATCACGTATACTAGTTTTGTCGATGAAATAAAATTGATAAATACACTTGTGTTTTATTTAAAAAAAAACAACATCATTGTTCATGAATATAACTTTATATATTTCAGTCCCAATTACACTTTATTCTTATTCCTTAGATCATTTATATGTCTAGATGGAGTGTCGCACTAGAAATTAACTAAAACAAATAGGTCAGCTTAATGATATTGGTGTGCGTGCCAATCGAGTGTTTATAGTGACAGTGACACACTGACACGCTAACACATACAGGCGACACCGTCAAGAAACTTAGTGTCCAATACTTGGACACTATTTTTCTTCTTTCAACGCTTTCATATTCCAGATATATCAATGATTTAAGTCTTATATACATATATACACAACAACAGACTTTATATTCTTCCCTATGATATAGCAAAAAATTGAAAATATACAGCCAGTTTTAATAGAACCGACGAAAGGAAATGGCTGATAATATTGTTTTCCAATGGGTTTGTATGGGGAGATTAAATGGCCCAGCAGATTATAACCCGGCAATCTCGTGCGCGACCGTCCCGCAGGGTGACAGACAGTGGCGGGGGCGAGGTAGCGCGTCATTCTAGCACACGGCTACACACGAAGAGACGTGTTTCCCTTCCCCGCTACACCACCCGCTACCCGCTGACATCTTAAGTACCTCGTCCCCGCCACCGTCTGTCACCCCGCAGGACGGTCGCGCACGACGTTGATGGACTATAGTCGAAAACCGTCCAAAACGCATAGCGATAAATGCTATATTATATTCTTGATTTTTCTTTTTGGTTTGACAAAGATAATAATATTAAGTGGTTTAAGTTTGGTATTTTTCTTCAAAAATGAACAAGGACCAACCTGTTCCTTTATGTTTGAAAAAAAAAACTTTTTTTAAAGGTCACTATTTTTTTTACAACTTAATAACTTTTCTTAATAATAAAATCATTTACTACATTTAGAATTGAATGGATAATTTAATTTTAGTACACTTAGTCGATATGCTTCAGCCATTAAACTATCGCCAATGTAATTTATTAGTTCGAGATGCTTTATCCAAAAATAGCATGGAAGGTGGTGCCCTTGAAACCGACGTTACCCGTTGGATTATCTTCAAATGTAATGTACATCCTGGAACAATAAAAATATTTGTATTAATAGTTTGATATTAATGTGAGTGGCTCGGGGCTAAGTGGTAACCTAGTAGATAAACACATCGCAATGTTATCAGCAATCCTAGCCAGGTCAGTGTATGTCATCATCATCATCAACAGCCTTTAATAGTCCACTGCTGGACATAAGCCTCTCCTTAGAAAGGAGGTTTTGGCCTACTATACCACGAGCCAGACGGGTTGGTATAGGGTTTGTGTCAAGTTTTCCTTCTCTCTGCAGTGCTGTTGTTCTGCGTAGTTTTTTCCCTTAGTCGGCTCTTACGACACCCACGGGATGAATAGGGGTGGTGACACTTTGTATTCTTAATCCGTCACCACACGGACCACAGTGTATGTATTGGTGACCATTCTTAACACATTGAGACCCCTCTATTCCTCGGTAAAGCCGTCGCTCCCGGTTGCCATACATCACATCAGTGGCAATCGTTACCGGCAGTTGGAGCCCAAAAAGGGCCGACTACATCTATTTACAGAACTTCGATATCGCCTAGTACTTGGGTTGTGAAGGTCTGATGGCAGTCGCTCCGCATAAAAATTCGAAGTTCAACCGGCTCAGAGGAAAAAGTTTGAAAACAATGATAGCAGACTCGCAATTTCCTTAAAAAATTTATTAAACAAGCGATGTTTATTGTTTTCAAGTTTGATATTATTTATTTATACACTGATTTAAACTATCCACTAAAAGAAGGTCGATAACGTTTATACATATCGAAAATAGCCAATTTGAATTACAGGTATTCGACCTTGACCAGTTTAAGCCGTAGATTACATTTCCCAGTTCATCCGTATAAGCAACAACAGTGGTAAGAAAGCTACCACTGCCTTACCTTTCTATCTATCTTTTTTATACATCAAATCACCCTGTAACAGTCTACTGCTGGACATAGGCCTCTCCTTAAATAGGAGTTTTTGGCTTACCATAAAAAGCTGGCCAAACGGGTTGGTATATCATGCAAAGCCTACTCCCTTATTCGGCTCTTCAGACACCCACGGGATGAATAACAATTTCTTACAATATAATACAAATTATCCCATCCAATGGATAAAGTGCTCTGTCGAAGCGAAGGTTTTTTTTTATCGTGGAAAAGCCAGGCTTCGGCACAAATGGGCCCGCTCGACTGAAGCTATACAAGGGCCTCACAGAAAACCGGTGTTAAACAGTTCTTTCGTTGCTTTTCACCGAGGGAGTGGGGTTACCACTACCCAAACCTCCTCTCCCCTTGATTGGGTGGAGGGACTTAAAGGGCGGCAACTGTGTCTCTTGAGTTCGGCGGTAGTGGGACTAAAATTATGGTGATAAAATGTTATTGTCCCTCTACCTGTCCTATATATAAAATGCGTGTAAAAGGTTTATGATACTACTAAAAAATATTAAAAAAGATTTTGTCAGTCAACAAATTGTTCTAATAAAAGGTATTAAACATAAAATTTTTGGAGATAGGATAGGATTTCAAATGCTAATATTTGATTTACTTGATCGAAATAGTTTTAAAATATGTTTATCAGCGACTGCTGATAAACCATTTTTAAATCATATCATAGTACAGGCTCTGCCTAGTTTATATTTTTATTAAGTTATTATTATGTGCAGTTTTATCGACAGTCCAATAGTCCATTCTAATTAGTAAAGAGTTAAGTGCCACTAAATTTATATCAGAGTCGGCAAGCTTAATATCAACAAAAGATAAAGTTATTTATTCAGCTGTATCGATAGTTTTATATGTATAAATACCTATTATACTGAGAACAATGGGTCTGTTGCTAGCAGTTGATAAACACTGCGAGCATTTTCAGAAAAATATATTACAATTTATATTGTTTTCTTCATACTTTAATGAATCATTTGAGATGTAAGAATCTTTGCACTTTAATAGATAGATAGATAGGTACTCTTTATTGCACACTTTAATTAGGATACATGCGATGATACATACAGAAAAAAAAAATAGTGAACTACTAACAATTACTGTGAGACACATTTACTTGAAATAAATAAAGAATAATAATGATTAAATGTTTTTTAACACTGTACGTAAAAAAAAAAATCATAAATTTGGATTTTTTATGGGGCAAACGAACAGACGGCGGGTTCTGGACCTGGGTGAGTGACCACCGCCATCCATAGACACTTGCAACTCGAGAGCCACCGCGTTGCCGCCCTTTGAGTGCCCATTCCCCAGAAGCAGGTGGAGGGAAGGTTTGGGCTCCGATAGTAAGGTTACTCGATAAATAGTAAAAAAAAGTTGTTGAACCAATTCCACTAGATTATAGAAACAATCGTAGGTTGGGTTTGGTAAGTAATGCGACCAACAACGCACGAGCCTAGCGAAAGAGACAAACGTTTTGCGGTAGCGACGGCAACCAAAGGCCTTGCGTTGTAGTAGTTGAACCAATTCCTTCAACCGAATCTCACCATATGGTGGTCGCCAAAAAAGTCCTCCTGTAATCAAGGACGCCCCGACCAGTTGCGAATTGGATTGATAGCAAACTGTTGAGAATGATTGAGAATTCGACAGATGGACATTTTGCGAATTGGACACAATGCGCTCAAAAGCGCAACAGAGCTAACAAAAAGAAAAGTATTTAACACATGCATACTCCCATCTATTACCTATGGATGCGAAAGATGGTCTCTCACCAAACATCAAAAAAAATTTGAAACATTGTCAGAGAGTAATGGAGAGGAGTATGTTGGGAGTAAGCATTTAGCGGTATTTCTGGACTGATACGACCTTCACACCTCAAAGAAAAGAGCGGACTCTTTCCTCAAAGGTGTTACGGCGGTAGTCGCTTTCCATCAGGTGACCCGTTGGCTCGTTTGTCTTCTCTTCCATAAAAAAAAACAACGGAGTGAGAAGTGATAGAAGAGGAGGTAAAAAGAAGTGGAGATGGACGGGCCATATGATCCGCGATAACCGAAACAAGTGGAGCACAACTGTCTCTGACTGAATTGATCACCATGTATATGTGAGCAGTTCAGAATAAAAGGCTCAATTATTATAATTTCGTAGACAGGTCGACCGCACGTGATAAACTCACACTGGAAATTCGTAATCAATATAATCTATATTTAGATAAAGATACGCCGGGTTTTGAGTGTATTTTTCATTATTGTAACATACTTCTTAATAAAAATAGACGGGTTGGTATAGGGTTTGTGTCAAGTTTTCCTTCTTTTTGCAGTGCTGGTGTCCTGCGTTTTTTTGCGCCCTTGGTAAGCTTTTACGACACCCACGGGATGAATTGGGGTGGTAACATTCCGTATTCTTAACCCGTCACTACACTGACATTTAATTCACGAACTGGTCAAATTAATAGTAACAATTAACTGTCTAAAACTAGTTACTATAAGAGAGTCATGCTTCAGCAGAAATGAGTAAACTTGAATTGAGTGATACCATGGCCTTACAGAAAACCAGTTTTTAGGTTATTGGAGTCAACCCTATTCCCTCGAATCCAGGGGGGGGGAGGGGGGTTAGGGGAGCCATGTACTTGTGACTGTTAAATTGCCCATGGGCGGCATAACATAGCATCAGGTGACACATTATCGGGAGTACAGCAGAAGCGTATACTAAAGGCATGAGCAAAGCATATCATACTACAAAGGTTTTAAGAGTTGTTACATATTGTAGTATATGTAGTATTTGTGCAATTTTTAGATTCTGTCATCTACATTATCTATGGCGCATTGTGTCGCCATTAAAACAGTTGGTTCCTTGACTTTTTGCTTTATTGACAAGCTCCCGAACATATTTATTGAAAATACAACTAGCGACAAGGATGGTGAACATTCAACACGTGGAACAGTTCATTGCACTGACCAAAATTAAAACAGAATCTACAAATTGCATAAATACTACATTTACTACATATTTTAACTTACTTATCATTCTTAATCCCCAGCTCCTTTTCCACAAGCTCAAAAAGAACCTTGGCGTGTTTCTTGTTTTGCTCCACTCCTAGTGCTCCGATAGACATCAAGTTTGCAATAGCACAAGGGTCTGAAGTACCACCAAAACTCATAGCCACATTAGGAATGACTGATACCACACAGTACTGTAATCAAACAGTTGTTTTAAGAAACGGAGAATGCGGTAGAGGCTAGGAATAGATGCCTATCCTACATACGTCTATTATGTGATAGAAGAGTCCACAAGTATACGAGGACAGACATAAACTGGTGAAAACAACTTTAAAACATTAGTAGGTACATGTATGTTCTTTTATTTCTAGTTAATAAAAGAAGAAATAACAGTAAACAATAACTTAGAAAAACTATTTCATTCTTTTTTAATACAGCAATACCTAATAACTAACAGAACTGTAAAAGGGCCAGGCACAGTATTTTTAACAACAGCCAGTATGCTCCCTAATCCATCCATAAGAAATTGCCCATAAAATAAATTTTAAAAGCCGCAAGTTGACAGAAATGGACCTCAAGACTCAATGTGGAACCAAATCACAGTTGAACATATTTGTGTTTAATATGGTGTATATAATATATTTATGTACAACTAGCTGACCCAGCAAACGTTGTATTGCAAAACAAAAAAAAAGGGAGGGAGGGATAGGTCACCCTTACCATTTAGGGGTATGAAAAATAGATGTTGGCCGATTCTCAGACCTACTTGATGTGCACTCAAAATTTCATAAGAATCAGTCAAGCGGTTTCAGAGGAGTACGAGAATGAACATTATGACACGAGAATTTTATATTTAAGATAAAGTTTAGGCATATTTCAACTGCACGGATGGCGTAGTGGTTTAAGCGGTCGCCATGCCGCTTACTACTACGGCGAGTGTTGTGGGTCCGATCCCAGCATGGTAGGACACTTTGTGTGATCCGTGATCCACAAATTGTTTTTCTGAGCCTGGGTTTTCTTTTTGTCTGTTTCATGTATGCTTATAAAGTCCCCCGCAACACACATATATATATAGATACGAATTCGCGACAAATATATTGATAATGAGGAAGATGGCTTCTTAAAAAATAAAAAACTATTTAGCAAGGTTTCAAATTCGAGACTAATGAAGCCATAAAATAGAAGTCTTCATAGATTTATGATTTATTTTTCTGATCTATAAAAAGTATCTATTAAGAAAGTTAAATTGTTACTAGTTATAAAACAAGGTTTCCTTTTAAATATTCTTTAATGGCATTGATACAGAAATTGAGCTTTCAACTCATTAAAAATAAAAAATGTAATTCTTTAAAATATTTCATTATATTATTCGGTAGACGAAAGTTATGACTGAATAGTAAATAGTAGAACACACATAGTTTTTATAAATACCTGTTCTGGTTTCCCAAGTGCTTTCGCCAATACCGGTACCGCTTTCAGAACGAAATCTTCTGGAATTTTATCACTTGAAAGATTAGTTTCGATTCTGAAGTGTGGCATTGTATTTTTTTTATTTGCCTTTATGAATATATGAAATTTCCACAATGATAATCTCACAAAAAAAATTATACAGGCGCAATTACATGCAGTTGGTTCAGATGTTGAGAGTGAGCAACTTGATTCTCAAGCAAAACAAATTTCAATGACATTCAATGTCAGCATTGTCATTTCAGCTACAGTGTTGCCAACAGTTAAATGAACTCACTACCAGATTCAACATCTAAAACCACCAGAAATCCACTAACGAAAAACAACCCTACTCTAATAGGCACTTAATTTACCATTAAACATGTTTTTTTTGTAATTAGGAAAGAAAACCATAAGTATATTAATTACTAGTTTCCTTTATTAGAATGTATTACTGATACTAATAGTTTTTGTCAGCAACATCATCGTCGGTTCCAGACATAGAGCAAAAAAAGGCCACCTGCGGACCTGAGGGGAGTAGCCATAGCGTCTTTTCGCGATACAAAATAGTCGAGCACGCAGACATTCCCGGACTCCCAACATAAACAATTCGCTGCCACTACGGCACTCACACATAACAATTAAAACAATATATTAACAATTTCAAACACGCATATACACTTTCTGTGTAATGAAGTGATGCACTACATTGTCATGTTGCCAAACAACCGTGGCTGTAACAACTATCGATACGCAATGTCGATAGATTCAAGAAGTCGGTTAGGGAAATCAAGTTTAAAAAGGGAAACAACGGTGGATATTAAACAATAATATAGACAGGACTTTATTTATTACTAAAGCAATCATCATTAATATTACCAATAGGTTTAACTATCACAATTTTTTAAACTGTATTAATTTTGTAAAAATATGTCGAATACATTTCTATGAGTTCGCTTTTTCATTAGGAATGTCCTATCCTTCTATTGTTCGCCAACACTTAAAAGTCAGAGGTCTTGAAATGATCTCAGCAAATGACACTGTTTCTTGTAGGTATCCAGGTCTAAGTTTTCATAAAAGTTCTTCGATTCAGCCCTTAAACTTGGATCTTTAGGAACCCTGCAATTAATAAATAGAAACAATGGTGGTCGTAGTTCACACTTAGTAATCTTAATATAATGTGTTAATACTCGTAAGTTTTGTATTATATTTGATTAGAAAAAACTTTAATATTAAAATAAAGCTCACCCACATAATTATATGAATTATGTCAGAAAACATAATCTCAAAAATGATAATATGCACGAGAGACATGGATGTATTTGTAATAGTTAAGTTTAATTATAAAGAACAAAAATTCGTGTGAAGAAAGAAAGAAGAAATTTGAGAACACTAACGCCGTAAGGCCTTCTACAGTGAGGGCGCCCTTAAGATGTGGTGCAATGACGAATATGCCCTACAGTGGCTTCGCCGATCCCTGGTAAGGATCCCATCACCACGTGAAGGCACCAAACTGGTCGTCAGGAGGCAGTCTGAGATCCCGAGAAGGATCAAGGCTGGACTCCTGGTACCACAAATCGGACCAGATGATACACTGGTCCGTATACAAACGAGGCTAAGGTATCAGAATAGCCAGTACAATGTGGCCAACTGGGCCCTCTACCATGCCGAGGCGCAGGAGGAAAAGAAATGTCTCTTCCTAGTGCTCGGCATCCCAGAAGAGGACGTCGTGAAGCTCAAGGCTAGCGAGCGTAGAGTATACTACAAACTGGGTAACCTCTACGTTCGCTTCCTCGATGAACGTCCCGCCCCACCAACTAACCCAGACGAGGAGCCAGAATCGGCCCCACAACACCGTAAGGACGGCAATGGAGGGGATCCTCTGATGCCCGTTGAGGAGACAGCCTGCCGGGGTCCACCTCCTGAGGAGTTGAAGGACCTACCGGTGGGCGAGAGTGACCTCGACGACATAGAGGACATGCTGAACAGCGATGATGGCGCTGTCTGCACCCCCCCATAACACCCTTATAGCCATCCAAACCAACCTCCAGCACAGCCATACAGCAACGGCTAACCTACGCAGAGAGCTGGAGGTAAAAACCAACACCGTAGCCCTAATCCAGGAGCCGTGGATTAGGAAGGGCAGGATCTGCGGTCTAAACAATATTGGAGGTAAGATACTTCTCAACACTACCATTGATAACCCGCGCACTTGTATTTATACACCAAAACATGCGTGTACTACCTTAATGACCGAGTTCTGTTCCAGAGACCTTACCTCTATTAGGTTAAAGGAACCCTCATCAAACCTTCCTGACGTGGTGATAGCATCAGCCTACTTGCCGGGCGATGCTGACATCCCCACTCCGGAGCTGGCTGCGCTGGCACACCACTGCGAGCGTGAGGGTCTGGAGCTGATCATCTCTGCCGACACCAACGCGCACCATGCGCTGTGGGGCAGCAGGAGCAACAACCGGAGAGGTGAGGAATTTGTATCGTTCCTATTATCAACTAACCTTAACATTATCAACGTGGGCTCGGAGCCGACATTTGTCACATCCAGGGCCCAAACTATAATTGATCTTACTTTAGCAAGTGAGCACGCATCGCAACACATATCGAACTGGCATGTTTCGAACGAAGCATCGTGCTCAGACCATCGCTGGATCAAATTTAACTTTGAAATGAAACTTAAACTACCCGATCCCCGACGGAATCCCCGCACGATGGACCGGAAACGGTATGAACATCTTACTGCGGAGAATCTGCGAAGCATCAACCCAACATATGCTACGGGGACTGTTAAGGACATTGACAGTCATGTTGTCAACCTTACACAGACACTGATCGATAGCTTTGAACAAACATGCCCACTTTCCACACCCAGAACTGGACCACAGAACAAACACCAATGGTGGGGTCCGGAACTGGAAAGACTACGTCGTAAAGTGAGAAAGTTGTTCAATAAAGCAAAAAACTCGCGATTAGACCAACATTGGGATGCCTACACGCAGGCCCGACAACAATATAAGAAGAGAATCAGAACCAGGAAAACTGAGTGCTGGAGAAACTTCTGTACTAACATAGAAAACAACAACCAGGCTAATAGAGTCAAAAGCATACTGTGTAGTAGAGGCGATCACAATCTTGGCTCACTGAAGAAGCCTGATGGTGAGTATACCAAAACAGACTCGGAAGCCTCAGAGCTGTTATTAAAAACACACTTCCCTGGATGTCGCATTTCAGATGTGATGGAAAAATGGGAAGACAGATGGGAAAAACCACCAGATGATACAGACTGGGATACGGCCCGCAAAGTTGTCAATCATGACAAACTAAGATGGGCAATTAACAGCTTCCTACCATTCAAGGCGCCAGGACTAGATGGTGTCTTCCCAGGCCTACTGAGATGGTGTGATATGACACTACTGGACCATCTTGTAAAAATTTATAGGGGCTGCCTGGCGCATCAGTACATCCCCTTGAAATGGAGAGAAGTCAAAGTAGTCTTCATCCCCAAACCTGGTAAAGGTGACTACACACAACCCAAATCACACCGACCTATTAGTCTCACATCTTTTCTACTAAAGGTTCTCGAGAGGCTAATAGATAGGGAAATCAGGGAAACTGCGTTAGTCAGTCACCCTCTACACCTCAATCAACACGCATACTCGATGGGTAAATCAACAGAATCTGCCCTACATCGAGTTGTTTCATATATAGAAGACAATCTAAATCACAAAAGGTCAACACTGGCTACCTTTATCGATATCGAGGGAGCCTTTGACAAGACCAACTTCACCAGCATTAGCCAAGCTCTGTCTAGGCATGGTGTTGATTCCACAATCTCAGGGTGGATCGATAGCATGCTAAGATATAGAGCTATTCAATTCACTGTGAGCGAAGTGACTAGAGGAGTGGTGGCTAGAGGTTGCCCCCAGGGCGGTGTACTCTCCCCTCTTCTATGGAACATTGTTGTGGATGAGCTCATCGCACAACTTAATGACCAAAGATTCCTCACAATAGGCTATGCAGACGATCTTACTATTCTTATCAGCGGTCCTTTTGAGAGCATTACATGCGATCAAATGAGACTTGCACTGAAGATCGTGGAACAATGGTGCGTAGCACACAACCTGACAGTGAACCCATCCAAAACAGAGATGATCATGTTCACAAACAAACGCAGCCTAGGAAATCTCAGACTTCCTAAGCTATTTGGAACACAACTTACTCTTACCAAAGAGGTCAAATACCTAGGAGTAATACTGGACAGTAAACTCCTGTGGAATATGCACCTCGATGAAAAACTGAATAAAGCCTGCATTATTTTCTGCCAATGCAAGCGGCTACTCGGCAAAAGCTGGGGACTATCACCCAAAATCACTTTATGGCTATACAGGACAGTCATAAGACCAATAATCACTTACGGTGCTGTTGTCTGGTGGCAGAGAACAGAGCTTAGCACCGTCATAAACAAACTGCAGCAATTCCAGCGACTTCCATGTTCCGCGGTCACTGGCTGTATGCGCACAACGCCTACTGCCGCACTGGAGGTGGCTCTTGGTCTGCCACCCCTGGATCTATTCATACAGCAGGAGGCCGCCATGGCGATCATTAGACTCAAACACCTGGGTCTATGGCACAAAAGTGAGGGATCGCACTCCAAATTATGGGATCAATTAGTGGAATACGAACCACTGATAGCAGCTCCATGCGATAGAATCCCAAAACACCATATCTTCACAAGAAGATACTACATCCAGATACATGGAAATGACCGAGATCAATCCGGCATTAACGAAGTCCGAATTTACACGGACGGTTCCAAGACTAGGTCAGGAACTGGAGCCGGAGTTTTCTCGCAAGACCTAAATATAAACAAATCACTAGCGTTAGGCCAACACAGTTCCATATTTCAATGTGAATGTGTGGCAATAACTTACGCTGCCACAACGGCCATGTCAAGGGGTATCAAGGACTACAACATCCGAATAATATCCGACAGCATGGCCGTCTTAAAGGCACTGGAGGGCAACACAATGACCTCTGGTATTGTCTTCGAATGCCACCAAGCACTGGAACAGCTCGCT